ACTGGAAACTTTTGCTAAAATCCAATACATATATTTTTTTAAATACTTCTATCAATAAATTGAAAAATAATCATTGTGAAATGTAGGCAGTCCAAATTTTTTTAATTTTCGTTTAGATGGTAAATGCTAGTCAAAAGGTTGAGGACCACTGCTGTAAAAGGTTCTTACTTCCTCAACTGTATATAGAAAAGTTGGTACTTATGTACTATGACGACTACCTAGATATCTCGCAAAAACTGGCGACCCTCGTAGGTTATACAGGTTAACCCTAACATAGGTTATAAAGGGTTGCTAAAATAAAGAGTATTATCTTGCACTAGTAGCACACTTGCTATTACCACACCTTTTTTTTTTGCTACATTTTCGCAGATTATTATGTTTAGGTTAAAGATGTGAAACTTTTTTTTTTGATTATTTTTTTCCTAATGGATATCAACATTTTCCAACTTCAAATAAAGAAGGAGTGATAGAATTTTTCAGAGAGGCTGGAATTTTACCCAAGAATGTGTTTGTAAATATGAAGTTTCATAATTAAGAATTTTATTTGAGATGCAACGTCAAAAATTGTCAACAAAAGTTTGGTGTCCGAACTGGTACATGGTTTGAAAACAGTCGTATTGAATTTTTAAAAGCTTTAAGGTTTATTTACTTTTGTACATATGAACAGTCATCCATTAAATGGTGCAAACATCAGCTGGATTTATCTCATAAGACTGTTATTGATTGGAATAATTATATGCGTGAAGGATTTGGAGGATACTTTTTCCCCTTTATAATTAAAGCTTTCATTTTTAAAAGAATTTATAAACATAAACCAAAAACCGCCAATGAAGATTTTTATCGGCAAATGTTGCCAAGGTAGTCGTCATAGTACGTAAATACCGAAAAGCCTTATGAATTTTTAACCTTGGATAAAGTATAGTTCTGTCAATGTTTCATGGGCAGTTTTTAATACTCTTCTGTTAGTTTGACAAATTGTTTTTCTTTACTGATTTTCAAAAACCAGTCTGAATCTCTAATGCAGCATTTGGGATACAGCAAACAGCTCCAGTGATAAAACTCTCATTGGTTCGGAAGATTATCAAAAACAGGTTTCACACCTCTAGAGTTTTACTCAAATTCTATGCAAAATATTTTTTTCCTGCCTTAATTTTAAATTATTTTACATTGGCAAGTTTATCTTCCATTTGATTAGCATTGGTATGCTAACCCTTTCAAGAGTGGTGTCAGGGTCAATATGTCACCTTTTAAATTTTTTTTTTTTTTAAATTAAAAAAATTGCAGTTAGAGTAGACTGAAGGGTACTCCTTGTATTATTGCAAAGTTGTTGCTTCATTTATCGCCACTCAAGGGAGTGCGTAATGCCAAGTTTGTGCAATTCTTTGATGTTCTTTTTAAGTGAAAAAAGGTTGATATGTACATGGATAAAGTCAAGAGAGCGTGCAATGCCTAGTTTGTGCAATTATCTGATTTTTTTTAAATAAAAATAGGTCAATGTGCACAGAAACCGAGTTTGTGCAATAGTTCGATTTGTTATTTTGGCTTTGTGTAGTGGCTATGAAGTCAAAGAATTGCACAAACTTGGTATCCATGTAACGTCAAAAATCGCCAATTTTCATCAAGGGGTACCTGTAAATATACTTTTACCAAAATTGCTTCTAATTAGCTCTATAAAATTTCTTACTGTTCTGCAACTTTTTCTGACCTAATAGATGGCAGCACTACAATTTAGAGGCATTCTTTATCAGAAAAAATTGACGGTGGCCGTATGTTTTATTCTGATGGAAATTTATCATTCATTTATTTCAATAAACAATGGATTTTACATGCAAAATGCAGTTTTTTTACATGTTATTTAGGCTAATGTATATCATGAGTTTTAGGAATAATGTTTATTAAAAATGTTTTCAAATTAGCGGACATTTAGGGTATAACAACGAGACTGACATTTTGGGTCTGACACGCACAACTCCGTGTTTATATTATTTAGACACAAATGCATGTTTGAATATTATATAACGAATGCTAATATAAATAAATAAATATTTGAATGTTAATATAAATAAATAAAAATGCAGATCCTGCGTAAGGTTAACGGAAATTTAGTCTATACATATAAGAAACAAATTTAGGTATTTTTCCGTTTCGCCAGCTCAAATCTCGCCAAGAAGCTTTCATGGTTCAACATCCTGATTCACCGGTTCGTATCACGCGACCCCAAGTGATCTCATCTCACGTAAACTACACTACAAAAATCTATTTCTCTCAGTAATTATCTACATTAATTTCAAGTTAAATCTTAATTTGGAATACAAGTTTAAATGCAAGAATGATTTCAATTCGTACGAATAGCTTATTCAGAAATTATGTAAAACCGCAATGTTTTACTTCACTAGTGTATTCTCATTAGAATTGATGAATTTAACCCTTGATTTTGCCTTTTCTATATTTTCGCCTTCGGGTGAGTGGTTTGATTGCATCCTAACTACGTAATTACCGCAAATGGTCTTAGGGCATAAAATTTAGCTATCTTGTAAAACTTCTATGTAATTATATGCCAGTATTGAAAGACAATCAATCTGATAAGAAATGGCTGTGACTTGTTTTGAAAATGAGGAGTAAAAGGTTACCAGCAAAGATATTCCGTTTAGCTTCAGTTGTACCATTATTGGCGACTTTATCGTTTGCACCGACAAAACGGAAAAGTACCCAAATTTATTATATATTTTTATGATATAAAATGTGTTTTATTTAAAATATACTTGTAGAGTATTGGCAAAATATGATTCTGAGATGTATGGTATCAGTCTTAGTACTGACACCTACCTCCCATCCTAACAACCTTATTCTTTTTTAGCTGCAAATTATAAGGTTGTAGGCTTGGAGAATCACATTCAGCTAAATCATTCTAAAAACAATATTATTTTTCATACAGAACCCTGCAAAGGATTAAACTATGGTTTCAAAACTGGTGTATTTTACTTCTCAGACCCAGAATTTTTTAAGATACTTTCTGATTATCTGCCCAACCACGAGGAGAGTCAACCACTGGTGACTAGTTTTTCACCAAATTAAAACACAAAAGACAAAGCCATTTTCAAAGATAGTTGCCTATTAAGAATAAGATAAAAAAGCAATCAATTAAAAAATTGAAAATGCAATAAACATCCATAATAAAACATTTACTTTTTCTTTCTTTTTTTATGCTGTTGTTTCTCGTGTAAACAGTGATCTATATTTGCTTCCAAAAAGACCAAAGAATTGCAGAAACTTGTTATCGCGGACAACTTGTTACTGCACATACTATCATTATCGACATGTACACAGATATGTTTTTGCTTAGAAAATTTTTTTCTTTACGTAGTACAACTTCTTGGAATGCAAACTTCCTGCATTCTTTATAAAATGCCATATTTCTGAAGAACTACACCAGTTTTCTTTTTAATTAACTGGCAAGCTCCACAATCCAATTACAATTCCTTACAAAGAAAAACGTGCATTCAGTGTGACAAAAACGAACAGTAATGGCTGTTAAAATCTGAAGGCTGAAAACACCATTTGCCATTGCACACGCAAGCATACTTGCCACATAAATACATTTTGCTAACATTATGAGCTGCCTATTTTGACAACATACTGCATTACCTAGTGAATTTTTTTTAGGCTGGGTGGATAATTAGAAAATACATTTTTCATTCTTTTACAGTGTAAATATAAATAGTTCATACAACATTATAAAAATATACTTTTGACCTCTGAACATATTTTAAAAGTCTCTGTCGGTATCTACTACATCCTCAGTTTTGTTAATGTAAATAAATACACACTGAAATGGATACATAACAGAATACTGAACATTTTTTTGAACTTTTCCTGCTTAATCACATTTTCAAATAGGGGTATACTTCTTGAAAATGATACTATGGCAGCAGCACATTAGATTAATAATGGATTAATCAGCAGGATACAAACAGGATTGCCAAGTTGTTATTTCATTTATGGTAATCTGAGTAGTTGAATGTTATGGAAACCCTATTACGACATAAATGGTTGCGTGATTGTAGTCAACAAGAATTGTGGGGAAAGATTTGGAAAGTGTGAGCCAGATTTTAGGTAAGTACGACGTCGTTATTTTTTGGTTTACATGGTAATGGTAAGATTAATTTGAAGTTTCTGTATGGTTTGGAACAAAAGGGGGAAAAAAGCATGAACTGACTTGTGTGTAAATGAAGGTTTATTTAGTAGCCATTATTAAATGTACTGTTTGTAGGAAGGAAATGCATATGGTCATACGTCGGACGATACCGATGCTGTGGAGGATATTTTTTTGAATTTATGTGCCAATGCCAGTACACAGATTCTAGTTCAGTTAATTTTAGGAAGTTTTTGGATGCTGCTAAGGAATTTTGACAGTAGACAAGCGAATTCGTAAATAATTTTAAGTGAATATAGATCGATGTGTACATGGACAAAGTCAAGGGAGAACGCAATGCCTAGTTTGTGCAATTCTCTGATTTTTTGTTTTTTTTTAAAGTGAAAATAGGTTGTTGTATACATGGATACTGAGTCTGTGCAATTCTTTGACTTGTTATTTTGGATTTGTGTAGCGGCAATTATTGTCTGGATTTGTGTAGCGGCAATTTTTGGCACAAAAATCGCTGCTACACAAAGTCAAAATAACAACTGAAAGAATTGCACAAACTCAGTGTCCATATACCGCCAAAAATCGCCAATTATCACCAAGGGGCACCCATAAATATATTTTTATCAACAATTCTAATGGTTCTATTAATACAATTTTAGGTGTTATTAGAATATGAATAAAAATTGTTTATTCATATTCTAAAGTTACCTTATAAAAAGTTACCTCTAATTTTTATTTATAGGTAAATTAAAACAAAAATATTAATATCTTTCAAATTTCGCATTTCTTGGGAAAAGTGTGAAAATCTACCTTTGAATATTAACTATTATTGAGATGAAAGAAATTTTAATCTTACCAGTTCGAGATGGGGAATACAGAGGATTCTTCAAAGCAATTTTCTTTATAAAAGATGGAAACCTGTCTTTGGTTTCACGTACTGTAACAGCCACAAACCACAAGTCAGGTGGAACAGTCTGTTAAAATATAAAACAAAATAAAAAATTGGTTGTATAGATTAATTGCAAAATTTGTGATACCATTAGTAAGTTTTTTTAAAATCCTTTTAGCAAAGAGTGATCAATTTTGGAAACATCCTCAAATGACAAATATTGTCTAAAATGCAGTATTCCATAAATATTTTAAATAACTTTGAACATACCTAACTTCGATTTAATTTTTTAATTTTTACAGACATTTTAATTCTTCCATCAAAGGACATAGCACGCGTTTATCATCTAAATTTCAAACTAAAGATCAGCTAAACATTTCAGAATTTCCAGTTATTAAAAATATAAATATTCTAGTCTTCAGCATATGTACTAATTTTAGGAAATGCATAACACGTTTCATAATACAAAACAATTGACAGAAAAAACACATTCTTTTTCATATGGTTTAGCAATCAAATTATTATATTCAAACAAATTTAATTCTTAAAAAATGCTACTGCGCGAAATACTGACAGACTTCTGAATATCATATCGCAACATTAAATGCTCACATACTCCAAAATAAAAATATTTCGAAAATGATTAAACCTTACCTTTAACGAATAATCATTTTGCTTTAATATGCTACCTTTAATCTTACTCCAAAACTCTGGATCGTTATCAAGTTTCTTTAAAAACAAAAATTCGTAGCAATGGAATATACTGTTCATTATCAAAACCCATATTTAAAAGACACCTCAAAACCAAAACATTGAAATTCCGTATGCTCCTAGACAGAAGAACTGAAAGTTTTTTTTTTTTTTTTTTTTTTTTTTTTTTTTTTTTTTTTTATAATCGCTAAACAGTTTTACGGGTTAAACAAAAAATAACGGAGACTTTTGAAAGCAATATTTATTGAATTTTTTTTCTTTCTTTTTAACGAGAGGTTAGTATTGTATAATAAAACAAAATTAATGTCTAGATAGTAAATTTTTTTTGATAAAGTTGGGAAAAAACTTTTACTTCGTCTATTGTTTCTATTATTTAGCCAAATCTCTTATACTAACATTAAACCAGGAAAAGGTGAGTAACTAAACTTTTATAAAAAGTCAGTCATTATAATGTACTACATTAGTTTTATTATATTAAGAGAATTATTCTTTCCTTAAACTAAAAGTTCGGGTAGTGTGTCCGATCTTTCCGGCAGGAAACACATTTCGATCCTTGAGGCATACGAAGTTTTATGTTAAAGGAAAGTATTTTGTTCCTTCTTCCATTTTAATGAGTACTGTTTTTAATGTGCCTGCATTCTGAGATGCCACTATGTGTATATATTTGCAGCAGTAGCGACTAGGAAAGAAGGTACATCGTTTAATTGCGACGCGCGTTCTCGTGTTACATAATAATACAGCGCGCGTCCTCCCTGTTTAACTATACACCGCTAAATGTCATGGTTAACCTATTTAGTTTTACTTCTATATGATATATATCTTATCAACAAAATGAAACGTACAAGAGGATTGGTTGCAAATCATTCGAACTTAAGCCAATAGGATAAATCCGATGGGTTGCAACGTAACTTGAACTATACACCGCTAAAATCATGGCCGATTCGCCTTTGGTGAGCTTGGCGAATAAATACGCACATCATGAGTTTGAAAATCTGGATTTTAAAAACAGATGTACCGGCAAAGATGGAGAATTTGAAGTATCGCTTCAGCTTCTCTATCTTACGATTTCCGGTTCATTAATGCCAACGATTAAAATACACGCTTTACTAGGTAAAAACAAAATCTATAGTTTTGAATAATAATAATATTAATAAAAAGAGCTGCTGCTTGGCGATTTCTGGCTGTACATGGAAACCGAGTTTGTGCAGTTCTTTGACACAAACTCGGTATATATGTACACATCAACCTATTTTTACTAAAAAAACATCAGAGAATTGCACAAACTAGGCATTGCACACTCCCTTGCCTTGTACACATTAATCTATATTCACTTAAAAAATCAAAGGTGCAGCCAATAAAAAATATAGAGTAGATTGAAGGGTGCTCCTTGGATTATTGTTAAGTTGTTTCATTTATGGTAACCTGAGTAGTTGAATGCTATGGAAACCCTATTATGACGTAATTGATTGCATGATTGCGGTCAATTTGAATGATGAGATGGATTTTGGTATGTTGTTATTTTGTGGTTTACACAGTGAAATGGCTGAATGTTGTAAGATTCATTTCAAGTTTCTTTATAATTTCGAATGAAAAAGAAAAAAGCATTAATTGACTGGTGTGTAAATGAAGGTTTACTTAGTTACCATTATAAGTGTCCTGTTTGTAGGAAGGAAATGCGTATGGTCAAACAGTGAAGGATACCTGCACTACAGAGGATATTTTTTACTCTTGTTTCTAGTGAATTTATGTGGCGACACCAGTATACAGATTCTAGTTCAAATAATTTTAGGAAGCTTTTGGATGCTGTTAAGGAATTTTGTTTGACTGAAGATAGTAATAAAGGTAAATAAGGTAAGTGGATATTTTCTTTGTGTAGTGCTAAGATGAGTTTCTCTTATTATGTTATTTCATTGTTGGATTTAAAATGTAGTTTTTTGAGATTATAAACTTTTTGTTGGCTGCTCCTTTGAGTTTTAAAGTAATGAAGATATAGATCGATGTGTACATGGACCAAGTCAAGAGAGTGTGCAATGCCTAGTTTGTGCAATTCTCTGATTTTTTTTTGTGGCTGATCTTTGGAATATGGTAACTGGTAGTTTGGCGACATTTTGGAGGCGATAAAGGTTACTACCTAAGGTTACTACCCTAGGACTTTTGGTAATAATGTGAGAGAGTACCCCAGTTCCGATTATGCATTATTTTGTGTGAAGGAAATGAGAGATCATGAGATATGTCATGTGACATTAATGGACGAATTACAGTTCTTTAATCGGAAAAGGGGGGGATTTGGAAAAACTGTAGTACTATATTATTTTGTATTAAAGCTTCATTGTGTGTTGTGTGAAATAGTGGAAGTGTGCGTGCCACGTAATGAAGATTCTGAAGATTAGGTATGTTAGTATTTTTAATCATTTGAAGATATTATTTTTATGCATTGTTCTAAATGTAAGTAAGGAGTAAAAAAATTAATATGATATTATTGGAAAATTGTTATTAGCAATGATTTAGTTTAAAGTAATTAGGATTGCAATCTAATTTTTATTAATTTAATCTATGTGTTAATGATCGTGATTTTGTGAGTTATATGTTTGTAGTATTTTCGAATACGTTGAGTATTTTCATGCATTTTCGTGAAATTTTTCTAATTTATGAGAAAAAAGCAGTGTACATGGATATAGTGAAGAGTGTGCGCAATGCCATTTTTGTGGCAATTCTGGGATTTTTTTAAGTAAAATAAGTCAACGTGTACATGGTTTAGTGATATTTTAATTAAATTATAGTTATTTTGTGAATTTTATGTTTGTAGGAATTTGGTAGACGTTTCAGTTGAAGTAAACGTGTATGGAAATAATTTAAATATTTGACACTAAGTATTTGTTACCATTTGTAATGTTTGTGGTATGAATTCGTTGGTGATGTTTATAAATATAATAGATAATTTAGAGGTAAAAGTTTTTGGATATTTTATTTATTTTATACGTGGAAATGTTCATCCTTGGAAAGGGTATATACTTTTTTCGCGATCAGGTAATTTCATATATGTGCTTTTTTTTTACCGACTTTAAAATTCAGAAAATTTCCTGCATTTTTCGTGCAAATTTTTGTAATTTATGAGAAAATAGCAGTGTAGATGGATAAAGTTAAGAGTGTGTGCAATGCCATTTTTGTGCAATTCTGGGATGTTTTTTTAGCTGATCTTTGGAATATGGTAAAAGGTAGTTTGGCGACATTTTGGACGCGATAAATTTTACTACCTAGGACTTTGGGAATAATGTAAGAAGTACTGAGTTCCGATTACGCATTATTTTGTGTGAGGCAAATGAGAGATCATGAGATGTGCCATGTGACGTTAATGGACGAATCACTGTTCTTTAATCAGAAAAGGGTGTAAATTAAAAAAAAATATCTGCTGTACAGCATTAGTTTCATTCTATGTTTTGTGAGACAGTGTTGTTTAATATTTGGATTCCATGGCCCTATATAAAGTAAATCCAAAATTTTTATTCCATTTATGTGTAATTGAAAAGAATTGCTTAATTGCGGATAAGTATGAATGTCCAACATGTGGGTTATGAAATGAGATTGTGTGAAAGGAAGTATATTACAGATAGTTTGAATGGCGTTAGATAAGTTTGAATGGCGGTGCAAGAAATCTGGTGAAAATGGACATTTTGTGATCCGCCATGCACTCAAGATTCTGTAGAAGATTAGGTAAGTTAGTATTTTTAATTATTTGAGGATATTATTTTTATGCTTTGTTCTAAATGTAAGGAGTAAATAAATTAATTTGGTATTATTGGAAAATTGTTATTAGCAATGATTTAGTTTAAAGTAATTAGGATTGTAAGCTAATTTTTATTAATTTAATGTATGTGCTTATTTATATTTTAAGTAGTGTTTTTTAATTTAATTATATTAATGATCATGATTTTGAGAGTTATATGTTTGTAGTATTTTGGAATACGTTTGAGTAGAAGTAAATGTGCATGGAAAGAATTTAAGTATTTGACACTAAGTATTTGGAACCATTTTAATGTTTGCGTTAGAAATTGGCAGGTGGGGTTTATAATAGATAATTTAGAGAGAAAAGTTTTTGGATATTTTATTTATTTTATACGTGCAAATGTTCATCCTTGGAAAGGGTATATACTTTTTCGTGATCAGGTAATTTCATATATGTCCTTTTTACCGACTTTAAAGATTCAGAAAATTTTCCTGCATTTTCGTGCAAATTTTTGTAATTTATGAGAAAATAGCAGTTTAGATGGATAAAGTCAAGAGCGTGCACAGTGCCATTTTTGTGCAATTCTGGGATGTTTTTTTAAGTAAAAATAAGTTGACGTGTACATGGTTACTGTGTATGTGCGATTTTGAAAAACGTGGCAAGGAGTTTGCGATTCTGCACTTTTTCCCAATTTTGCAGTTAATATTTGTCATGATTAAGCAGTTTTGTTCCATAAAACTTCTAGCATAAGTGTAATTTGGCTAACAGATTGTTGGAAAAAGTGTTGAGTAAATAAAAAGAAAAGAAACATGTCTTTACTTTGTGAAGACAAAATGGCGGCGAAAAAAAACAAAAAACAGAGGGTTGCTGTAGCAGAGTTGGTCGCCAAAAAATCGCCAAGTTACCATAATCCAAAGATCAACCAACAGATTTCGGAATGGTTAGAGAAACAAAGGATATACCTTTATGCATTTTTTTGCAGCAATTCCACTTTTTGTTTGATGGACATCAAAACATATTTCTTGTTTGATGGACATAAACATATATGTATTTCGCTTTGTAGATCCTTTGGCAGCTCCAGCGTCGGAAATTCTATTTGATATAATCGAAAGTTCAAGCTTACTTTTATAAAATTGCTCTAACAGTCTGCAAAAAATAATAAGCCGGATCCACTTCGAAGATTAAGGCAACAACACAATCTGCAACATTAAATGAAATAGATAATTAGGTAATTTTAGCTTAGCTTATACCGTCCGTTATACATTAAACATGCATTCGTACATGCGCACGTGCATGTGCACATATGTAAAGGAATTACGCGCATGCGTAAATGGCGCAATGCGTTGATGCATACACAGCTTTGAGGTCAGGATTAATGACTTTTGACTGTATATGATACATTATTGTTGTTCAGCCAAAGTACATGACAGTCTGTTTTAATTAAGAAAAACAGAGAGTTGCACACATTTGGCATTGTACACATTAAATAGTGTACATATTATATAATAATTGATGTTTTTTTTTTTTTTTTCCTCCATGCACACAGCAATCTGTTTTTGCTTACAAAACATATAATAGAATTGCACAAAGTTGTCTTTGAGCATAAATCATACTTTTCTGCCATGATGCAGACCAGCAATATGGAAGTCTAACAGGAGTTCTATTTTTGCTGTTTCAAAATATGCAGT